CCAGCCGGACCGCGGTCGCCTCCCCGTCTCCGCCCGTTTGCTTACGGGCAGGTACGCGTGTGCTGGCGCGTACGCTCAGGCGACCTAGCGACCGACACATACACACACACGCACATACAACATGGCAGCCATGGCCCGTGTGACAAACACACGGTCAGGCTGCGTATATACGCTATAGCGATATACACACTAATACAGACGTTTCTCTTTGGTAGAGAGATGGCTTACGCTAAGAAGTGTGTCAATATAATTTAGAATTTCATTTTCAAAGGATCCCTTGTATGCATGTGAGTTAATGTATATATATATATATAGTTATATATATATATAGATATATTAGACTAATAAAATAGTATAAGATATCATATTACAGTATACATATACACTTACACCTATACATATAAATACATAACATACATATATTATTTATATATATGTATATATATTCCGTATATAATACAAATAAAAGACAGGTTAAGCGATATTGCTATTTCTTCGCGGTAGATGCTCGTTGACGCGTTGCGCAGAGTGTAATGATTGAATCACCAACGGAGCAAACTTTCAACATAAACGCTGCTGGACTATTTAACGAAGAAGCTCTTAGATTGGCGCAGACGCTTCGTAATATACATACGGCGCGAGCACGCGTGTTGCGTGGAATTACGCGCTGACAGTCTAGATGCTGGCATGCAGACGCATTGCAGTATTGGACACGCGCCCGCACATCACGGTCGGCGCACAAGCAGCGCACGTACACGCACGCACGAAGCACCTCGCGCAGCTGAATAAACTGCTACGTGTGAAGTCGCAATTATTGTGTCAAGTATAATTCTCGTGTGTGTTTGCCAAATAATCGATGACACGCTCTAAGTAGCATGTCGACAGCAGTCACCGTATAAACACACACGCCTTTTCGAAAGACACACTGAAACTTTATCGAACGCACATAATTAAAACTCTCCGTCCCCTGCATTCTTTGCCTCCTCCGCCTTAACGATCGTGTATAAATGTTCCAGCCGCGCGCACACACGCGTCGCCCAAACGACATTTTCACGGCCGAAACGAACGTGACGGTAAAACGTCATCCAAAGTTACGGATTGACGTTATCGGCCAGCGGTCGACTGTCGTATTGCCGACGCTACGGGCGACAGTTGGGTTGCTGCAGCGAAGAGCCGTTAGAGATGGACCCGCGTCGTTATGGCCGAAACTCGTACAGACGACTCGCGTTCGTGAGATGAACGTCCAAAGAAGACGTCGAAGAACGTCATCGGAACATTTGTCGCGGTCAACATGTTTAAAGCGCGGGCGCAACCAAGATTGCGGGCCAATCCAAACGCTAATTTTCTCCAGTACTAGACTTAGCAAATCTCGTTCGTGTCATGCATAATCACACTACCTTATACAAAATAAAACTCGTTCCTGCCATTTTCACTGCGCGTTGCTGTATAAAAGGTAATTGAAAATAATCTCAATGTCGGTTAAAAGCTTCCGATGGTTTTGACAGATTCCCGCAAGCACGCGCAGCGGTTGCTGGCGGGATACAGCGGTACGGGTGCTAGCAAAGATAAAAAACATGTGACGGTCACCCTCACACGTTCGAGGCTAAATTGTTTGGCAAACAGTCGGCCGTTTGCGCCGAATGCCAGTTGTTCTCACCTCTTTCTTGTGGGTTTTAAGCAAAAATGTCGCAGTGAAATGGGAGCAACTAGAGTTTATTTTGCGATAAGTAGTGTTGATGTATGCCATGACACGAAGTATTGCTAGTCTAGTACTGGCGAGAACATTAGGCGTTGGGTGCGCATTGTGAGCCTTTAAATGATTATATGCTCTGTGTCAAAGTCTCAAATGGTTTACAAGATTGGATTAAAAGAATATCGTATACCGCACGCTATGGTGCCACGCCTGGCACCCATCACACAGGTTAAAAAGCTTGTTGTTTTTCTTTTTACATAGAAATAACACCATCTGAATTAGGAATAAAATATTGTTTTGGATGCAGGCTGTTTCGCCGCAGTAACGCGCTGATCGGTTATGTACTACTAAATTCAATTTAATCCATTGATGGGTTGTTATTATTAATCGATAAACCCCTTTCCCCATGCCGTTAGTAAAGATCTTATCCGCCTGCAGCGCAGACGAGGTAACTTATATATAATATATATATATATATATATATATATTATAATATACATATATATATATATAAATATATATATATATATATAATACATAAGATATATATATTTTATATATATTATAGGTACAATTTATATACATATATAATATCTCATAAATATATCACTATATGATATATAGAGGCCTTAGTATATATAGTATATATAATATACTATATGCGGGCGCTCTAGCTCCCTAATTTATTTGAACCGGAAGGGATTAGAGTGACAGCTCGATGCAACGCTATACGCCCGTCCTGTGTGTAATAAACAGAAACGCGAGCTGCAACCCAGCAACGCCTCTCTCTCTCTCTCTCTCTCTCTCTCTCTCATCTTACTCTCTCTGATCTCTCTCTCTTCTCCCCACTCGGCATATATGGGCAGCAGACGGCGGTTACTACAGTGCAACTGCGCCAGACGGCCCACAAGCGTTTCGAAAACTGCTCGCGCGCCCCCCTGGGGGTGGTACAGACGACCTTGAGTCAGCAGCACCGGATCTACGCGAGCCATATAGGATAATAAACACATATAAAAAAAATATATAATATATATATATATAGTATATATATATATATATATATATATATAAATGGTTATAATTTATTGTTATTGTTTGTCGATATGTGGTGATTGTGTAACTGCGCGCGCGCGGGGCATCTCTGCGCGTACCTCATTCACACCGCCCTCCTGCCTCCTCCTCATTCTTCTTCTTCCTCTTCTTTTGTCCTCAAACAATCGTGAGATTTGTTTCTTAACGCGGGCGCGCCGCTGCTACGACCGCGAACCGTCCCCCGCTATAATAAAACGTCGTGAGCTTGCCTTCATGGCTGCTGCCAATCCGCCATGTCGTTGTTCAATCCGGCGGGCACTTGCACACGCCCACCGGTGCAACCTGAGGTGCACCCCTGCATACAGCGCGGTTCGTGTGGTGGTTGCCTCTCTCTAGCCTGTACTGCTAGCATCTATGACAAATACGACATACGCATATCCGCTCTCCCATGACACTATTTGTAATAGGAAGATTCTTCCTATGACAAATATTGTTGTACGTCTTGTGCGCATCATAGGAGTTTAGGAGCGCTATTATGAACGCAAGCAGTGAATTTCAACTGTAAAGCGGGACAAAGTTGACTCGCCAATATTTGTCATAGGAAGTATCTTTCTATGACAAATAGTGTCATAGGAGAGCGTATATATGCGTATATCGTATTTGTCATAGATGCAAGCAGAACAGGCTGCGCGGACGCGCCTACGACGCAGGCCCCCCTCCTACGCTCGCCTCTCTTGCGCAAGCACGGGGAGGAAGGTAACGGGGGAGGTTGCTCTCTCGCATCACGACCAACGACGATCACATTGATTTCGTGCATTGTCGCGGTTTTAACAAGACAGACGGACAGAGCTCTCAACCTTTTTTTGTCACTCGTGTCCCCCCCCTACCCCCGCCTGATTCTAAATCCCCCCACCCCCGCGACCCCGGCCACCGATTCAACGCGAACACGGATTTCAGTCAATTCTGTAGCGTCTCTATTTCGACGACCTATACAGGTTTACTATGATAGCTGCTTGGAATCTGCGGACAGACAGAGCGTCATCTGTCGTGTGGTTTGCACCGCCCCATCACATAAACTACGGTCGTGCATCCGTTCCTATGTTTATATATATATATATATGCTGCGTTCACACGAGGATTTTATATATATATACATATATATTTATTTACTTATATATATATATATATATATATATATATAATTATATAAATAGATAAATAGATAGTATCCACTCGAATGGTCGACTGTTTAAACCGCTAGTCACGCATGCCCCCATACAGGCTAGATGCTGTTGCGGCTTTTTCATGGCTTCCACACAAGCACTGTGTCGACATTTTCATTGCTGTCTCGCTGCTAAGAACCCGCTACCGATGCCATGCATTGCCACACGTCCGCTTTTTTTACTACACGGTGTGCGCCGCGTAATGATATTTACTAGCAGGTAGCGCGCATAGCCCACAGGTGCACAACATTCCACCCTACTCGGTAGCGAGGGTCTGCAAATGCTGGCAGCGCCACCTCCTGTCCCGACATCCGCAGGCCCCCATGAAAGAGCGTCCGCTTCTCGCTTGCCGGCGGGCCGTGACGCAACAGCAGCAGCAACCGGCAGCATCAACAACAGCAGGCAGCACGCGTCAGCATCCAACAACAGCAGCAACAGCGACGACGCCACTACACTACTGCATGGCCATCGTCGTGTAGGACCACGAGAAGCTATCCCCGCTTAGGGGGGGGGCAACCATCAACAACAAACACAGAAGAAGGGGCAACGCAGCGACCAGCTACACATCGGCACATCGTCGGTGAAGGCCACACTACAACAACAGCAGCATCAACACAACAACAAGCCCAGCAGCGACACTACGCATCGCTCGTCCGTGTGGGCCAAGAGAAAGCTAGTCACCGCTCAGCAACATCACAACAACCAAGGCAGCAGCAGCGACACTACTGCATCGGCCATCGTCGTGGCGGCAGGAGAAGCTAGGTCCGCTCAGCGAACATCACACAACAACAGCAGCACAGCGACACACTATGGATCGCCATCGTCTGTACGCCACGGTACAACAACAGGCAGCATCAAACAACAACAACAGCAGCAGCAGCGACACTACTGCGACTCGCCACGTCGTGAGGGCGCACGAAAGCTCCCGCCAGCTAACAACATCCACAACAACAACAGCAGCGCGCAGCGACACCTCACTGCATCGCGGCCATCGTCGTGTACGGGCCACGAGAAGGCAGGTCCCGCTCACAACATGTCGGGCGAATAGCGTCTCAATGGGCGTCTTGCGCCCCCAAAGCCGCACGAAGAACACGTTTCGATGACCGGACGAACTTGACGGTGCGCAGCGACGGCAGCCGCAGCAGGCAGCCGACCGAACGCGTACGGCTGTTAGGGTACTTCGCGTGCGACAGGACTCCCGAGCGCCGACTGCCGACCTTCATCTGGAACGTCTCGATGTCGAGACGGTCCCGACAGGTCCGCAGGCAATCTGACAAGCGAAGCAAACAGCGGTGTAAACAACGCGTCAACAATGGCGTAAACAACGGCGGCAAACACAGCGCGTAACAAATTAAAACAACGGATGTCATTGGGGCAAACATCTGAATAAACAATGTAGTAAATAGCGGGGTAAACATCAGAGTAAATAATGTAGTAAATAACGGGGTAAACAACCGGGTAAACAACGGGTAAACATCGGAGTAAAGCATCAGAAGTAAACAATGTATGAAACATGGGTAAACATATTGGTAAATACCCACGCACACGTACGCACGCACGCACGCGCACACACACACGCATATATATATATATATATTATATATAGTAATATATATATGATATATAATAATATATATACATATCATACTAATATAGCAAAATTAAGGGTTGAGACAGCCTGCAAAAATTACACGCGCTGCCATCATGCCAGCTCGCGGCTATGCAGCGAGCAGGCGTGTCGTGCGGCGGCGTGCGTGCGTTCGTGCGTCGCGTGCGTCGCGAGAAGACCTATCGGCAGGCCAACTTTATTCACTGACTAGCACTCGCTGATGGCATGCAGCGTATAAGACAGCGGCCTCTGGCACGCGTGGCTGACACCCACAACATATGAGCTTCTAACCAACGACCGACATGCGAAAACGTGTTAGCCTGCTTTGCTGCCGAGCGTCCACACTACTCTCAAACGAATTGCACTGTCTCAAAACGCTCTGAATTCGGTTGCATTCGTCGCGGGAACCAAATCGCGCGTATATACCGCCCTTGAATGGAAGCGCGCGGCACAACGCCAGTAGAAAGACACGAGGGCTCCGACATTAAATGCGCCGACGGTTTTATTAGCGGGTGTAACGCATAACCGGTGGTTTGTATGGGCGCTTTTAACCGCAGCCTCACTGCTAGAATATCGAGGACTTAGCATAAGGTATCGGACGCGTACGTGAAGATGCCACAGCTGCAGCCTTTGTTTCGATTTTCCTCGGCCTCTCTCCTTGCGCGGTCTTCTCTTCTTTTTCTCTGCGATATATTTCCGCTATCGTGTTCTCATCCCACCCTGCGAACCTCTTTATTGGCTGTTCATTCATAATCCCCTCTCCTCTCTCCCTCACATCTCTCTCTCTCTCTCCTTCTCTTCCCTCTCTCCTCTCTCTCTCTCTCTCCTCTCTCCTCTCTCTCTCTCTCTCCCCTCTCTCTTCTCAGTCTCCTCTGCTCTCGCTCTCTCTTCTCTCTCTCTCTCTCCCTCTCCCCTCCCCTCTCCCCATCCTCCCAGCTCCTCTTCTTTCATCGCATGTAACACATCTTTTATTCGCCTATTTACCTGGGCCTCTTCCAATCTCGTTCTTTCCCATCCCTCCACCTCTCTCCCCTCGTCTTCCCTATTTGCCCTCCAGGAAAAAATCGAAAACGAAGAAGAAGCGCGAGAGAAACGTCTCGCGGGTGGTTTGGTGAGAAGAGAGAGAGGAGGAGCGAGAGACGAAGGAGAGAGGAGGAGAGGAGGAGGAGGATGAGGAATAGAGGACAAAGAACAGGAAGGACCAAAAAGAGGAAGAGAAACCATAGAAGGAAAGATTGGTGGATAGAAGAGTGAATGGAGATGAAGAAAGGAGGGAACCAGAGAAGGTGGTAGAGAGAATAGAGGATGATGAAAAGAAGACAGAAAAGAAAAAAAGCCGAAAAAAAAGAGGAGGAAGAAAAAAAACATGAGAGCAACAAGTAGCAACAGAACGCGCAACCTCCTAAAGAATCATAAGTACCAACCCCTCATTCGTCGGCGCCTGCAACGTTATACGGAATAGATTTGTGCCATTAACGGTTATGTCGCCCGCCCTGAAAGCTGACGATAAAAGAATCAGGCCGAACCCCGACGGAACATAAAAACTCACGCACGCCAATCAAGCTGGCGGCTGCCACGTCACCGTGTGTAAGCGTCAACATGTAGTGTGTCTAGCGGCGCGAGACAAGCTCGTCGATGAGTAAGAAAGAAGAGAGCGGGATAGAGGTGGAGGAGACAAATGAAATTGAATGCCAGAGGAGAGGTGGCGAGAGAGAAGAGAGAGAGAAAGAGAGAAGAGAGAGAGAGAGAAGAGCTAATTAGAGAACGATAATAGAGAGAAAAAAAAAGAGCCAATAGAGAGAGAGAGAGAGCGCGCGAAAGAGAGAGAAAAGGAAGAGACCGCGTGCATAGCCAGGAAGAAGAGGACAAAAAGAAAGAATGAGAGAGGAGAGAGAGAAATAAAGGATGAGGAAAGCAAAAGAAAGAAGGAAAGAAAGGAGGAGAAGACAGAGGAGGAGAAAAGAAAGAAAAGATGAAATTAAGACGTGGCGGGGCTTGAATGGGTACTGGTGATCCTATGCCTCAGTATCCCCGTGGCTCCACCTGTAGTACCAATTCGATCGCGCCGCTCCCTCTGTTCCTTCCTCCACCCTCCTTTCTCTCCCCTCTCCATCTCCCTCTCCCCTTCTCTCTTACACCCTCTCTCCGTCTATCTCTCCCTTTTCTCCCTCCCTCTCTCCCCCTCTCTCCCTCTGTCTCCCCTCTCTCCCTCCCCCTTCTCTCTCCTTCTCTCTCGCTACAATGACTCCGTCCCTCGCCCGTACGTGACGGGGAGACGACGACGACGACGACGATTCACGTCGCGTCGCGGCCGCGTGACGTCACCGGCGTGCGCGGCTTCGCACTTCATCCCGGAGGGCTGCAGATATATGAGCTCGAATTTGAAAACAGGATTAACCTCGTGCCTAATTAGCATAACAATGGAGGGCTTCGCGTTTCACATAATCTCATCGGACACGTGCACGATAGCACGGCGCATGCGCGCAGACGTCAGCTGCCGAGATCCCGGTCACCCCCTCCTCCCCCACGCACGGGGGGAGGGGGAGGGAGGGGCCGGGTGGATGTTGAATGGAGGGCGAGGAGGATGCGGAGATGCTGCGGAGACGGTAGTGGAGGATGGATAACGGGATGGCGCGGTGAAGGTAGTGGAGGATAGATGAGGGGAAGATGCAGAGAAAGTAGTGTAGGATATATGGGGGGATGATGCTGAAAAGGTAGTGAAAGAGAATTTTGAGAAGGGAAGCAGAAGATGCGGGGGCGGTATGGAGAAGGAAGACGATTATACTGAGAAGGTACTAGAGGATGTTGAAAAGGAATTAGGATATGCGAGGATGCTTAGGAGATGGTAGCAGAGGATGCTAAAAAAGGGAGACGAGGATGCGGGGAGGCTGCGGAGAACGTTGCATAGAAAGCGGAAAAGAAAGACAAGTATATTGACAAGGAGAAGAGGGACGATGGAAAAATCTGGAGAAGGTAGCTTGGGACGCGGAGAAAGTATTAGGGCATTTAGAAAGGATGCCGAGAAGGTAGCAAGGGATGCCTATATAAGCTAACGGAAGATGCTGAGCGGATGCTGGAAAGGTAGCAGAAGATGCGGATAAATATGTTGAGATGATGCTGTCCGATAAACAGATAAATACGCACAAGTCAGATAGACAATGAGCAGATGGGAGAATTCCTTCTCGGTAAGGATTTCGCAGAGAGCACGTACGCACGCACGAACGCACGCATGTATATGCACGCACGAGGATAATCGCGCACGCATGTACTGTGTGTGTTGTGTGTGTGTGGTGTGCGCGTGCGTGTCTGTTGGAGAAGACACTATAAGCTAACTGAAGCTTTGCCCCTCCCCGTATTATAATATTGGGTTAGGTTCGCAGGCGCGTTGAATGACAAGGCGCCACTGGCCTCATTAATCGGATCAATGCTGCTTGTAACCGGTAATCTCATGGTCGGATGTCGCTCGCTCACAAGCTCGTATGCACTGGCCTTCACTCGCCATCGAACTTTGCACATCACCAAAATGTACATTATTGAATAACCGTGGTGGCCTTCCAGCTCTTCAGCGTGGACAGCGTTCGCCAATAAGGACACAGCTGTCTCTTCTCGCGGCTTGAAGTATTACGATAGCTCTTGGGCTGTTGCGCCATAGTTAAATCACTGCATCAGCTGCATCGGGGGATATATTATCGATTGGCTAGGTCTAATAGAGTGGAGTTGCTTTATAATCCCTCTTCCGTCATATAAACTTCCACTGAGTTCATTTGCCGAAACGCGTGAAATACGATGGATGCTTCACTTCATGAAACGATAGCTTCTCTCTTCTGTGGGTTGCGCTGACTTTTCGCTAGACATAAGAATTATTTAATATAAGAAAAAACGTGTTAAAAAGAGAAACGTACTAAATTTATGCCCCCTCAACTCGGGCACATCCAAGTCTTTTGCTTCCAACGCATTGTTGCTGGATCACTTATCTATGCTCGCGGCTACGACACAATCGAGACACTCCTCTCGTCGTTACATACAATTGAAAATTGTCGTTAGTGGGAAGAAGGGAGGGGGTTTGGAGCACAGCTCTTTCCTACGATGCCCTCGGCAAAAAAAGAGGGGAAAGAAGGAACGCAATATCGTATGACGGCACTATCAACATTAAAGAAGGTTCTGCGCACTTCACACAGGGCCGGGGCCAGAAGATAGACACACACAACACACACTACACGGTGGCACACAGCCGCGTCTTTGAGTGTGCACAGCACACACACACAGCACACGCACAGCACACACACACAAGCACCCACACCAGCAGATCAACCTGACTCCACACACACAACACACACACACACCACAGGCCGACACACCAAAGATCATTGGTGATGTCCCGCCATTGTGGGGGGGGGGGACCATTTGATATGATGTCCCGCCCTGCTTGAAAGTTCGTGGTGGGGGGCGACTGATGTCCCCCCTGCCCCCAGCCTGGATTTGCGACCCAGCGGTAATGGGTGGGTGGCTCACGGGAGTAGTGGTTGAGTGCGCTATGTTATCGCTGTTGTGGTAGATATTGTGTGTAGATGATAGTAGATGTGTTTGATAGATGAGTGTCGCTCGTGTGGTCCCTTCATAGTTGTATGTTTTTATGTATGTACTGTCAGTGGCTGGACTCG